CGTCTTCTCCATCACTGGAGTGTAGGAGAAGACGGGCTGAAAGGAGCGCTGTAACAGCCAGCCATCTGCGAGGATTGGGTGAGTATAACTTATTTTACACCCTAGACGAAAACGAGCACTTAACCCTTGCAGTGCGATGGTAGCACCACTGCAAGGGTTAAGAATAATTGTCCGGAGTTCTTCTTTAATCTCAAAGCCTCTATTAGTAGCCTAGGTTGTAAAGTGTGTTGTGGGGGTAGCACCACTGCAAGGGTTAAGATTTTTTCCTGGAGTTCTTCTTGAAGATGTATAAATATGTAACTGCATACCAGTCATTATATTTACAGAGACTTGTCCCAGAGGAGCCCTTGAGCGCGCAGCCATCTGGCATCTTACACTAGAGAGAAGCATCTCTCTCGAATAGATGAAGCAGTGCCCAGCACTTTAGTTCTCAGTGTGGTAAACAACTAAAAAGCTGGTCTTAAAGGAAACATCTGCTGAAAAAATATTCAGTTGGACATTTGTAACCTGTAACCTGTATATAAATGCTACTTGCCTGACCCTCGTGTTGATCAAGGTGCTTCAGTACTTTTGGAGTTACTGACCTGGAGTGAGAATGCAGATCTGGAGTTCTGATATCATTTACTCCAGGACAGTAAGTCAAAATATTTCAGCTTTTTGGGCATCTAACATTTGCAGCAGCTCAGCCCTAGCAGCCTCTGTATTTGTGGTGTGCTTTTAACACTCGCCTTTTCCCCAACCCGTGTACTAGCGCTGCGCAAACTGTTGGCGCTATATAAATCCTGTATAATACTAACACTTGTGCAATCCGACTGGTTTGTGGGGTTCCTGGCATTTTTTTAGCACTTTATTGAAATGTCACAAGTGACATTTCATTTTTTTACAGGCATAGTGTGGTGATTGTACGGTGTCTGATCTTGCTGTGCACGCACTACTTCTTTTTTCTCTTTTTGTTTTTTTTCTTTTTAAGCAGTGGTGTGAAATTTGTAAATTGTCTTGTGTTGGGGCTGTGCTGGGGAAAAACTGCCAGCGCAGCCCCAACCTATTTGCTGTGAATTCACCTTTTAGTTTTTCTGTCTGATCCTATGAGAGATTAACTTTTAGGGCCCAGTCACCCCAGCCAGGCCTGCTGCTGTGCGTTTAAAATGTTCACTTGAAAGCTGCCTAATGCACCACAACTGGCTATAAAAATCATGCATGCAGCAGAGTAGTGCAGTGCCCTTTAGGCCTGGTTCACACCTTTCCGTTTTGTAGCGCGTTCAACGCTCTACAAAACTTACAAACTTGAAAATCCCATTGTTTTGCTATGGGTATGGTTCACACCTTTCCGTATTTCAGCCCGTCTGAACTCGCTACAAAACGGCCTACGCCCAAAGAAGTACATGTACTTCTTTGGGGCGTTTTGGTCTCGTGTTTCCATTGGGATACAGCCAAGTAGCCCTCGGAAAAGCGTGTTTGTCGTGAAACGCGCGACAAATGCGCATATTCAACACGCCTAGTTGTGAACCCAGCCTTAAAGCAAGTGCCATCCATTCTGGTTGGCACTGTATCGCATGTGGCTGTGTTAACATACATTGTGCTAACACTACATTAACTTGCATAATTGTCTTACTGGGTCCTTTTGAGTTATCAGTCCTGTGCCGAGACCAAACAATTAGGTCTTGGAGATGAAAACTGATGATCCGCTGCTACAGTCAAATAGTCTTCTTATTTTTCGCCTTCAGTAAATAGATTTCTAGTTTAGTTTATATAATGATCCTTTTACAGGAAATGCCAATATTCTTTGACTCTGATGAGCTTTAATATATCAATCCTATTTGAGCTCATAGATGGCGATGCTGTTAAAGAATATTATGATTAGACCAAACTTTTATTTTACTAAATCATAGTAATATTTTTTTCTCTCAGAAGTACTTAAATATTTGACACAAATAAAATATATGTATAATTCTGTTCTTAGAACCAAATCTGAAAACATGAGCAGTAACGAGTGCTTCAAGTGTGGTCGTTCTGGTCACTGGGCTAGGGAGTGCCCTACAGGTGGCGGACGTGGTCGAGGTGCTGCTAGAGGCAGAGGACGTGGTGGATTCAACTCTTCAAGAGGTAACACTTCTTAGAATTGGAAGGCTTTGCTTTGGCTCTCCCTTCCCTGCTTTTATCCCCCCCCCTCTAATTAACCTTGAATGCTTTTGCGGTTTTATTAATATACTTTTTTCTTCTCCTCCAATATAGGGTTCCAATTTATTTCTTCATCTCTTCCAGACATTTGTTACCGTTGTGGAGAGTCTGGCCATCTTGCTAAGGATTGTGACCTTCAAGAGGATGGTGAGTGTCAATAGGCATAGGTGCCAATCACACTCATTGTGGAGCTCCTGATTTTAGTTTTCTTTTCAGGACCACAAACAATGCGAAAAATTAAAGGAGAACTATGAGGTGAGTGATTTTCACTCACCTTATAGTACGAGCCGATGTTTGACAATGAAACTGTCACACGTCTGCTCAATAGATCGTGAAGAGAGCGAACACATACCGTCGCTTGCTCACTTCTCGATCTGTCCCTGCAGAGAGCCGTAACTCACGGCTCCCTGCAGGGATTCCCTCCCCACTCCGATCTTCCAGCGCTGATTGGAGGAACGAACAGGAGAGGGGGCGGGTACAGCTGGCTCTGCCTCTAGATGGGCAGAGCCAGCTGTCAATCACGCAGCTGGGTGGATCTCGACAGTAATGTCGGGGCTGCGGCGGTCTCGGTATACCGCAAGCTGTAGCTCGCGGTATACTGAGCTTTGGGTCACAGGAGGACAATAGTTTGTCCTCCCGTGACCCTGAGGAGAACTATGGGGAAAAACACTTACCCCATAGTTATCCTTTTAACACTAATATGGTATTCGATCGGAAAGAGTTTGTTTGGTTTATGTTTGTTTGTTGTTGAAAATAAGTAGCAGATTGGGCAGGCAGTTTCAGAGGTTTTAGACTACTAATTCTGTATGATACACCATACTAGTCATTATCCAGTCTATATTTAAATAATAATTTCCATTTAACTTGTGTATAGTATAATAGCAAAAACTGCTGGTAAAAGACTTAAAATTACAGGCAGTTTTAATAATACAAAACAAATTTGTAGTTTTTCTCACAGCAGCCTTCATTTAAACTGTCTATAGATATTAAAACCAGCTGTCTGAATCAGATATTTGTGGCTAAAAATGCCACACAGATTCATATGCCGCAGGGGTTGTTCAAATGGCCCCTCCCTAAAGGTCGTTGGGAGCAGGTAGACTTTTATTACAGATGAGACTCTCATCCGCAATAAAATATCAATCCTGCCTGCTAGCATGTTTCTTCTGATCTGCATATGTGTATGGACAGGAGTTAAGTCATCCCTTGCTGGCCAATCAAGATGGCTAGAAACTATTGACCCAGAAGATTGGGGGGGCGCAGACATCTGTAGTGGAGAAGGGCACTTTGAGAGACAAGTTTGCCAATAATGTCTGTATATACTGTGCATACTTGCACATTAAAAAAGATAAGCAGTGTGGGACCCAGAAGAGTTCAGCTTAGGTTTAAAGTAAATCTTCCCTTCAAGGCCTAATATTGCTGGCCTACTGAGTGTTTGCTATTCTACTAATCCTCTCATTTTAAATATTTTGTCCTGACCCTGATAAAGGGTATACTGGGCTGGGTATGCGGAGTGTTGGATAAAGAATAACTTTAAGCATCTGTGTCACATCTGAGTGGTGACTTAGCGGATAGACCAACCTGCCTCGGGTAGTTTCTGTTCAGTGTAACTTAACCAAAGCAGAACATAAAAAAAAGCATAAATAACATTTGCTGCCATTTTTACGCCTGTTTGTTTAGCCTGAGTGTTCAGTTTTGCTAGGAGTAACGAACCAACTTTAGCCTTTACTGATAAGTGATATTGCAACTTATAAATAGTGGTTAGTTAATGGTTTGCCAGGCAGCAGTCCTGGCCAGAAATAGATGAAACTAAAACCTTGTCCTTTCTAGACATTGTCCTTTGACAACTAACACTGTAGTACTTAATTTGCTTCACATCAACATCCTTTTAATTCTCAACTTTAGGTGTAATGTAGTAAAGAGTTTGACCATATAAAATTGTGAAGTATTTTTTTCTTTGGGTCACTGCAGTAAGTTACTCCAAGTAAATGATATTTTTTACTTTCAAATTGCCCCATTCAGTCATAACATTATGACCACCCACCTAATATTGAGTAGGTCCCCTTTTGCTGCCAAAATGACTGACCCGTCAAGGCATGGACTCCACTAGACTTCTTAAGGTATGCCGGCACCAAGCAGTCAGTAGCGGTAAGTTGCCAGATGGGACCTCCATGGATCAGACTTGTTTTTCCAGCACATCCCAAAGAGGCTCGGTTGGATTGAGATCTGGAGAATTTAGGGGCCGAATCAACACCTTAAACTTGTTTCTCAAACCATTAATGAGCCATTTTTGCAGTGTGGCAAGGCTCATTATCCTGCAGAAAAAGACCACTTCCATCAGGGAATGCAGTTTCCAGGAAGGGGTGTACTTGGTCAGCAACAATGATTACGTAGGTGATGTGTCAAAGTAACATCCATATGAATGGCAGGGCCCAAGGTTTTTCCCGCAGAACATTGCCCAAAGCATCACTCTGCCATCTTGCCTTCTGCCCATTGTGCGTACCGGTGCCATCTGATCCCCAGGTAAGCGAAACACACACCCAGCCATCCATATGATGTAAAAGAAAATGTCATTCCTCAGACCAGCCACTTTATTCCATTGCTCTGTGGTCCAGTACTGATGCCTATGTGCCCATTGTAGGCGCCTTTGGCGGTGGCCACAGGTCAGCATGGCTACCTGTTATGATTTTTCTTCCTTGAACCCCTTTTGGCAGGTCCTGACCACTGCAGACAGGGAACAAGCTGCTGTTTTGGAGGTGCTATAACCTAGTCTAGCCATTACAATTTGGCCCTTGTCAGTCACTCAAATTCTTAAACTTGCCAATTTTTTTTTTTTTCTGCTTCCAACTTCAGGGACAAAATATTCACTTGCTGCCCAATATATCCCACCCACTTCCAGGTGCCATTGTAATGAGACTATCAATTTTATTCACTTCACCTGTCAGTGGTCCCAATGTTATGCATGCACAGTGTAGGCCTGGCTGGCATGCTATGCCGTACCGAAAAAAGCTGCACAGCCAATATGTCGCTAGATCCAGGACAGGTTGGTATAAGATGTAGGAGGGGGGTTGGGTCCTACATAATGCCTAACTGCACCACAGGAGGTATACTGAGGAAGTTTGGAGGTTGCTGTTGCTGATGTCACCTTCCCAAAATGCTAGTGCTCTTACTCTCATTCAGATCACTTTCTTACTCCCTGAACCAGAACAAGCAGATTAGAAAGTATTAGACTGAAAACCTGCCTTTCCGGAAAGTCTGCAGACAGCCTCTTTGTTTAACGTTTACGTAAACTTCTCTTTGATTCTAGAAATGTTGAATGGTTTTGTTGATGATTGTAACCTTGTGTTTTCAGCTTGCTATAACTGTGGGAGAGGTGGCCATATTGCAAAGGACTGTAAGGAGCCAAGGAAGGAGAGGGAGCAGTGCTGCTACAACTGTGGCAAACCAGGTCACCTTGCCCGTGATTGTGACCACGCTGATGAGCAGAAATGTTATTCCTGTGGGGAGTTTGGCCATATCCAGAAAGACTGCACCAAAGTGAAATGCTACAGGTGAGGATTAGAACCTTTTACAGTTGAATGTGAGATTGTTTGTCTTTTCCATGTAGATAACCACATGTTAATACTTTGTTTCAGGTGTGGGGAGACTGGCCACGTAGCCATCAACTGCAGCAAGACCAGTGAAGTCAACTGTTATCGCTGCGGGGAGTCGGGGCACCTTGCGCGGGAATGCACGATTGAAGCTACAGCTTAAATTTCTTTTGTCGCCCCTCCTTTTTCTGATTGATGGTTGTATTATTTTCTCTGAATCCTCTTCACTGGCCAAAGGTTGGCAGATAGAGCTAGTCCCAGGCCAGTGAGCTTTACTTGACGTGCAAAAGGAGGAAAGGGTGGAAACAAAACGACTTCCTGCATTTAACTACAAAAAAAAAATGTTTATGTTTAGTTTGGTAGAGGTGTTATGTATAATGCTTTGTTAAAGAACCCCCTTTCCGTGCCACTGGTGAGTTGGGATTAAATGATCGGAAGAGTTGAGTCAGACTAGTAGACCCTTCTCAGGTTTATGGTAGCACCTGTGCAAGGAGATCCGCTACTGGGAGAGTATGTAAAAACTTCTGCAAATATTTAATTTTGTGGTGGTCTCGTTGTCTGACCTCAGCTGTTCTTAACATCAACTACATCTGTATTGGGCTAGGGCAGAGTACCGCGTCAATGTCTAAGTGGCCAAGTCTAAAATTCCGGTGAAAGAGGCCATTGAGATTGCGTCGGAGATACAGTTGACAGAAAGATCTGGAATTTTTTTTTGTTCCTTTTCATGGAAGTAATGAAAATAACCCAGAACATGCATAAATGAATAAAGCAAAGTAAGCTATTCAGGAGCTGCAGAGAAATGTTTTCACAGAAATCAAGATGTTATTTTTGTATACTATATCACTTTAGACAACTGTTTGAGTTTCATTTGCGTGTAATCAGTTTTTAAAGTCGGATGGTAAAAGAAACTGAAGTCCTGGAAAATAGAAATGTAATTTTAAACTATCAATAAAGCTGGAGGAGGAAGGGGAGTTTGCCTAAAGTCTGTTTCCATTAATTCATTGTTTTCTGTTCCAGTATACCAATCTGCCTGTTATTTGGTCTTATAGCAGTGATTACTGCCTCATGTAGCAATCTAACTTAATGTAAACTGTAAGAGTAGGTGCAAAGTTGGCACTTGCATGATCCTTCAGATATCTTCTATAGCAGGAGTCTCCAAGGGACAAATCTATGTTCTTCAGACCTTAGGGAAGCTGTACTATGGCCAGGGGGTATAAAACATGGTCAGTAAGGGGAGAAATGGTTCCTCATGGTTGGTGTTAGGAGGAGGATTAGTGCTCCATTGTTGGTGTCATTTGGAGCAAAAGTTCTCAAAGGGCTGGGTAAAGGCAAGCACAGGGTGGCAGTTTGGGCACCACTGTTCTATAGCAGACCTTCTCAAACTTTTTTTCCACTTGTGACCCCTTTTTGGCTGAGAATCTTTACGTAACCCCAGCTCCGCCCCCTGACAAATTACAAAAAACCCTCCTGCCCGCACATTCTCAGGAAGGTACCCAAGTGTACAGGGGGGGGCTTGGGAGCTTAACTACAGATCACATACTAATCAATAATAAAAGTAATTTCCTTGGAGCCCGGGCCTCCCCCTGCGACCTGGGCCACTTAAACATGTACCCCACTGATGGCGCCCCTGGCCGGGGATTCAGATCACGACACACACCCCCTTCACTTGCGTGACCCCATATGGGGTCGCGACCCACACTTTAAGAAGCCCTGTTCTAAAGCATCTCAAGGGTCTAGTTATGCAGATTAGTTTAGCTGCTAATTCAGAGTTTTGGCTTGTCTTCTGCACTGCATTATTGGTCCCTCAGTCTAAAACATATCCTCAGTGACCTATAGTGAGAGGGAGGGGCGGACCATAGCTTTGATGTAACAGTAGTGTTTGTTTTTTTTATATATATAATTGAGCGCCTATGGTATTAGGGCTCCCAGGGTGCTCTGGAGGATATGTGAAGGTACATGCAGTCATTTTTGCATACCAGATTTTCACCCTGCTTGCAGTTTCTCTTAAAACCAGCACATTTATTACTTCTATTTTTCTGGTCTTAAGCGACATGGGAAGTCATTCACTTTTGGGTTATACTGCTGCCTACAGGAAAATTAGAAAACAAAAGGGAAAAGAGCGCCACCTCCATGTGTAAAATCGTTTATTACAATAAATAAAACAAGGGATAAAAGTACTCACAAACCGTTTTCATCAGGCTTTAACAACCAACGAGAGGCCACACTGTCTGTTAACCCAACATGGTGATTCTGAGGAAGGGGGGCTTGCCCCTGAAACGCGTCGGTGGACGGTGATGTGACCGCAGACTACCGTGTTATAGTCGGGGGTACTATGTTGGGTTAACAGACAGTGTGGCCTCTCGTTTGTTAAAGCCTGATGAAAACGTTTGTGAGTACTTTTATCCCTTTATTTATTGTAATAAACGATTTTACACACGGAGGTGGCACTCTGTTCCCTTTTGTTTTCTATGTTTGTGGTGGAAGCACCAGAGCCTTGGATGAGCAGCCCCTCAAGTCTGTGTAAAAAAACTGTTGAAAATTTTGAGTGTGCAACAGCATGTGGATTGTTCAGCTGGCAGCCATTAGTGCCAAGAGCTAAAGAAAACTTTTCCCCAGTCATCTTCCAGGACAGCCATCGAGATATAGGCTCCGCCTGCCTGCAACAGGAAACACATCAACCACATTAAATAAATAGACTCCTCCTTCCATCCCAAGTCAGTTTTTTTGTGTTTCCGCCGGCTACACAGGGACATCGTAATGTTTGTTATTTTTAGGGCTCATGTTTGTTTGCCTTTGGGCTGAGCCTTACCCTGCTAGGCATTGGGACCTACTCCAGGCTTACCTGCTGCAGTGCCTACAGGGATTCCCTATCGGACCCCCACCCGATTTCTGGCCAAGGTTCCCTTCCATCACTCAGGGAAGGCAACCATCCTCCTGCACGTGAGTAGGCAGTGTATCCAGGTGGCATCCGAAGTTGGATGAAGGAGGGGATACTTTTGTACATGGGGTAGCCTTCGGTCCTAGAGGTTACTGACTTGGGATGGAAGGAGGAGTCTATTTATTTAATGTGGTTGATGTGTTTCCTGTTGCAGGCATGCGGAGCCTATATCTCGATGGCTGTCCTGGAAGATTCCTGGAAACAGAGTTATCAGGTAATCAACTCATGTTTTTGTCTACAGGAAAATTAGACAATGGCAAACACAAAACAAACTAGCCTACGGTAACCGCACTATGGACATGTCACCAGGTTTTGTTTTTTAAGCTACTGTCCTAGGATAATGGATGTCTAAACTAATTTTACTGGCAGCATATTTTTTGCCATCAAGACTGGCTGCTAGAGCTGATCTACCCAATGCAGCCATTAACCTGGCTTTTGAGGGCTGTGACTGGACATTGTAGGGCTAGCCTGGAAGTGACCTTTTGGGCACTGGGTTCTGTGTAGAGTGCTTTCTAGAATTAACTGTGGAGAGCTTCCCAGGTCAAGAGCCATTGGCATTGCCTCAGTGCTTGCCAGACTCTGAAGACTCACTCGGAGTAGGCCAATCGGATTGCGCATCAGGAGTTAACAAATTTGCTTGGATCATTGGGTTCCTTTTTAAAATTCCAGCTTTCTGGTTTTTACATCTGAAGGGCTTAACATTAAGGGACTGAATGCTGATGTCATCCACTGGATGGAGTGTTGTGCTCTTTCCTGTCAGTCAGTGTGGAGGAAGCATCTTATTGCTGCTGTTCCTTCACTGCATAGAGCCATGTGGAACTCCAATCTGCGATCTGTTCTTGCTGCCTGCCTCCCTACAATGACTACAGTCACCTCCAGCCATATGACTCTCACTTGCTATCAGAGGTTTACGGGAGTACCTGAGACCTTGCCTCCTACCCTGAGCCCTTCATTGCTTAAAGTGACATTAAACCCTCAGATTTTTTTAACATAAACCAATACTGTAATCCATGGTTGTTTCCCTTCTCTTTGCTGCTCTTCCTTTTAAATTCTCATGCTCTGCAGAACTTCCCTTTGCAGCTCAGGGCCTCTTCCTGTAGTGCTGGCTCAGGTTACAAGCCTATAGAAACTAATACACAGACACCGTGTATCCATTCCTGAGACAAGGCAGTCTGTTGCAAAACAGAAGTTCTGCAGAGCATGAGAACAGATACAGATTTAAAAGGAAGAGCAGCAAAGCGAAGGGAAACAACCATGGATTACAGTAAGGCACACATTACACTATTGTTTTATGTTAAAAAACTCTGAGAGTTTAATGTCACTTTAACTGCCATGCGGTTGCAGCATACATATTTCTAGATGTGGGTATAGTTTCACTGTACCAGCTATCCCTGACTCTTGCAGCGTACCCACTGTTGCAGCTGATGTCTGCAGCCTGAAATCTTGTGGCTCCCTGATCCTAGAGTTGTTTCCATTTTCAAAGTCTTCCCTAGCTCTGTCAAGTGTGGTCTGATTTTCTGCCCTCAGCTGAGGTGTTTATTACAGTCACACATGACTTTATGGCCCAAATTAACCTGGTTATTTGCTGGATCTGACTACTGAGGCCTCAAACGTACCTCCCTTGCCTTTCCCTACTGATTCTATATCTGAACAGCCTGCAGCCTTAGAAGCTCCTGAAGCAACAACCACTGAGATTAATTCTGGGTCATTCCTGTTTTAGGGAGTTGCAGTCTTCTACTATTACTCCCAACTGTAAGCCCTTTTAGCCATGTTGTGGTGTGCACCACTCTGAAACCGGAGGATTGGCCCATTTCTTTTACCAATGTTATCCCCATTCTTGGGTCCTTTAGTGTTCCTAAAATCGTAAAGATTTTCCCAATATGCCCACTATTCCCAAATCTTATTCTATGGAGATTGAAACTGCCTGACTTTACTTCCCCACTTGCACAGCATACCTTTTGTGTTCCCATTTGCACAGCATACCTCCCAGTTTCTATATATATTTTTTTAAATCTTTCTAGTTTCTTGGAGCAGGCCGCAGGGCAGACTGCAAACAGCAATTTGACGAAATACAGACTTTACGTTCATTAACATACAGTGCAGGACTGAGTGAGATTTTCAACCCTAAAGTTTTTAGAGTGCACACACAATATATTCTCCAATTGTTTGGTAAAATAAAAGATGAGGTTGTGCTTAAAGAAAAAAAAAAATAGACATGTCATTGATAACAGATAATCTGCATATGCCTATCAAATCGCGGCAAACTACGGTACCCAAAAGTCAACATGAGCAACAATTTTAAACCCTTAAGACTTAATTCACAAGGGCATGCACATCCATACAGCGTGCACGCTCGTGCAGAGAGCTACTCCCAGGAGACATCAGTGTTGCCTGTAATTGTGTGCAGCTGCCTGTGCCTCCCTATGACAGGACTTGGTTATAGTCCCACCCAGACCTGCACATGGATGATCTACGTCCAAGTGTGTGCACATATGTGCAGGTTTGGGTTGGCGTGTAGTCATGTCCTGTCATACTGAGGTACAGAGTATGCAATTACAGGCTGCATTTGTCCCTCCCAGGGAGCAGGACTCGGCACAACCATGTGAAGGAGGCCTTACAAGTCATCAATTTTGAGTTAACAGTTGGATACATGGCACATGCAGCTGGTTGTAGAGGTGTATAAAGTGGCTTCACAGCTGGCCTAAAATATTTCAAGTACAAAGCTGGAAGCCTACAGAAGTGTGTGTGTGTGTGTGTGTGTGTAAAAAAAAAAAAAAAGCACCTGTCCTTTTACAAGTTCCAGTTGCTGCCAATGTCAGCAATTTGTTGGCAGCAAAAAGGTTAAAGACCCAACTGATCAGCCCTTTTTAGATCTGTGTCCTTGCTTGCAGGTTCCTGCTCTTCAGCCTGGCTTAGCTATGATTTTTGTTTTGCCAAATCCTGGCTGATTGGTCAAAGTCCATTAGAACGGATCTTGTCACCACTGTGGTTAATCGGTTGGTCATAGAACGTTTGAAGCAAATGATTGTTACCGTAAAGGAGAA